CTCTCTCTCCTCTCTCCCTCTCTCTCTCTCTCTCTCTTCTCTCTCCCTCATATATGATATATATATATATATATATGATATATATATATATATATATATATATATATATAGTATATAGATATATATAGATATATGATATAGATTATAGATGTAGAGGTAGCGATATAGATATAGATATAGATATAGATATAGATATAGATGTAGATGTAGATGTAGATGTAGATGTAGATGTAGATGTAGATGTAGATGTAGATGTAGATGTAGATATATATATATATACATATATATATATATATATATATATATATATATATATGCATATATATATATATATATATATATATATATATATATATATTATATATCCGCCACGATAGATGGTTAGAGCGTCTGAATTACGATCAACCCACCCCCGGCGAGGTGACTTTGAGTCCGTTCAGGTGCTCGCCATATGTCCTTAACAGGAGTGTTCCACATTTTTAAGGTATTTTGAACAAAATAGCTATCCTGAAAACCTTTTGGTGCAGTCCACAGCCCTGCCCTCCTTAAGACTTAAACTCCTTTAGTTTCTGGGTTGCACGCCCGTGGTAATGGGAAAAAATACATCGACGGGAGTATTTCAAAGTCACATTGGCATTCATGGCGTAATAATAACGTCATTCAAATCGTACCATTCTATAAGCCACACGACGATCATGGCAAAAATGACGTAATGTCAAGGCGTTCATACCTGGCGTTCGTAAGCGTGATTTCAAGATATAACAAGGGCTGTCAGTTGGCTCTCAATCAATGTTGTGCAAGGCACGATGATGTAATGAAGGCATGACGCGTTGAGAAACACACGCACAGAACAGGCAATTTTTCCATCTAGAGAAGTCTTTTCCGCTTAAAAAGTATACCAATAGTCAAAACTGAGCCTGTTTCATGACACCTGGTGTTTGCTTCAATATCTTCAAATGTGAAGCAAGCTCTTTACCAGGCGTGGCCTGCTGCCGGTGGCAGCGACCGCGTTGAAGCGGTGCTTCCGAAGAGGTGTTTCCATAGGTGTAATGCGGACTGTGTGGTACATCAGAAGAGACTATACCAGCTTCTCCGTGTCTCGAAACTTCTCTTCTTCTATCCCTGGCTTGACAAGCCGTTATTAGCTGTCTTCACAATGTTTTCCGCCGCTCGGTTGCCGTTCGGTGTGGTGGAGTCAGAATACGCTTTACTCCACTCAGTCTTAAAAACTCTCGAAACGCTTTGGCAGTAAAGCACGGACCGTTGCCAATGACGATTTTCCCTGGAGGACTCCAGCAAGCAAAGATCAGCGGGACGGATCTCACTAAGGTCTCCATATTCTGCCTCTTTTCGATCTCCACTTCCGCCCATTTGCTGCAGCTGTCAACGAGTGCCAAGGCATTCTTTGTACTGCAGAATCAGCGTGCACGAGTGCCGGTTCATCTTGGGTCGCACCCACGGATGTACCAGCGTTGTCTCTTTCATCTTGGAATCGCACCGGCAACATGGACAGGACTTGCAAGGAGTTCCTATCTCATTATACATTTTGAGCCATCAAATGCAAGAACTCACCAGGCTCTTTATCTTTGGCACCTTGGTGTGACACCTTGGTGTTCTGCGTGGAGCTTTACCAGCAGCTGGGATCGGAGTTTCACAGGGATTATGCCACTTGAACGAATCAACGTCTATCCATTTCGGGATCCAGTTCGATCTCTCGCGGATGAATGAATCCATTTCTGAATGTGCTACATCTCCACATTTTCTCCATCCTTCCGTCACCTTCGTGAACATCTTGAATAGGGGCAGGTCTTACTGAGCCGTTGATGCTACCTGCTGGGCTCGGACGGTGTTTGCCTTGTAACCCAGGGACTGTAGCACCGCTCCCTCATCTTCGTCAGTCGCAGGTCTCCTAGACCGAGACAGGCGGCAGTCCTTCAACATTGTCGTGACTACTGCTCCCCCAGTGACGATGCCGTTATCAAAGGGCGCCAGCAATGCCGCCCATTTCGTGATCCTGGCGGCTGCGATCGGCGGCACACCTTTTGCGAAGAGAAAACGCTCACCAGAGCCTGGGCGTCGGTCACAAGGGTAAACTCACGCCCACACACAAACTGGCGGGATTTCTCAAATTCACGAAAGATGCTTCCACTTTGTCGGCACATTCTCGAGGTTTGTCCTTTTCTACCACGCATACAACTGTCCTGGTACCTAAAATTACCTGCCTTTTCAGCATGCGGTTTCATCACAGTGAGGGCATTCTTATTTCAGGCTTTATTCAAATCCCTTTGCTTTTGGCTTCCCTTTCCTGGGTTGACGCTCCACACCATGACCTAGAAAGCTGCGAAGCTTGGTCCGTGAATGTTGCCAGCATGATCATTTTCTTCTTCACAAGCATTTACCACATCCAGGACCTTCATCACTGCCATATCGTTCTCTGAAAGCAGCTGCTTCTGAAACTTGATTTCAGGTTTCTTTAAAGCATTTCAAACGACAGGTCAAATGGCGTGCTTAGAAAGAACATGCTGTGGTATGGCATAGGTGTTACCGTCAAGTGCAGAAATCAGCAACAGGCATTTTTTTGTCAGCTAGGCCATCTAGCTCCAGCCAACAAGTGAATCGTTTAAGAATTGACAATATTTTGTCTTTACTAGAGTGTAATTCATACATTTTCCCCCTCTCAGTGACAAGTGGGGACGTGCAGCGTTTTCGCTGCTGCCTGGCATTCTCTTTCGTTAGCTGTGGTCCGAGGGGAAAACCTGCTGAATATGCTCGTCGCCAAGTGAGGCAATTAATCTGCTGTAACTTCTATTGCGATAGTTTTGTTTAGAAAGCTGCTATCACTTCTAGGTAAACGATTTATTTCGATCCAGATCACAACAAACCAAGTACCGCTACCGCTATATGAAAACCGACCGCTATATGAAAACAGTATTTTCGAGGGTTGTCATTGTGAAACCTTAAGCTTTAGCTCTATTTACTTTATTTTGTTGATATCTAAAACAAATCTTTAGATATCAACCAAATCTGGGATGGATCTTTTACTGATGCAATGCATGTTGGAGAGGTGTAAAATTAGTCGCCTGAGCACACTCGTGTATTTACACCACGGATCTGAACATTGAGGGTCAGGGATGTAGTTTTGCAAAGTGAGTTGCGGGCTGGGGCCGAGCCGAGACAAATGATGAAATTGACTCCCTAAATTTGCCTTATTATGGCTATCTCCCCTGATTTAGCCAACTTCTCTCTCGAAGTTGCGGCAGTCCGTGTTGGGGGAAGAGGGGGAATGAATGACTGAGCACTGTTCACCTGTGGTGGATGGACTCAAGCCTGAAAGGTCGTGGAGTGAAATTCCTATGTCTTTCATTCAATTTTGGCTACATGAAAGCATATTTTTTCAAAGAATCGAGGGTCATGAATGCTGGATTTTCTGGTGGCTGTGGTGATTAAAGTTCATGTTTTTTACGTGAGTTCTACGTTTGTATTAAGTTTTGCGTCGCCAACTATTGTTCTAGGCATGCTTTTGATTGATTGATACTAGGTTGGCAGGTATGAAATTAATGCGGTAAGTGATGTGCTGTTATCAAATTGCCACCGTAGGCTATCCACCGAAGTGGTTGAGCAGGTATGAACATTGGTGGGTTCAAAATTATGTATATGTGCATGCCACATTGCTATCCCATTTTTACAGCTCACTCTCAAGGAGGCCTGATTGCAAGAGGAATCATAGAAATTTGGGACAACCACAACATCAGCAGCTTCATCTCGATTAGTTCTCCCCAGGCGGGGCAATTCGGAGGTACGAATGTATTGGTATGATCAACACTGATAAGCTTGCTTTTGAATGGTTGTTAACAGGGATTGATCTAATGGCTAATCGTTCTTTCTATGGGCAACTCTGCAACTACCACAAGCTCACTACTGCTGGTTTTCAGTCTTTCATAAACCTTGTGCGTCATTCGAATCAGGGAGTGAACATAGAGACCGTCATTTCACGGGGGCGTTCCACATTTATATGGGGTTTTGAAGTGAAACAGGCATCTTGAAGACCTGCCGGTGCTGTTCACAATCCTGCCTTCTTAAGACCGAAGCTCCTCTAGTTTCTGAAATAAACGCCCCCCAAAATGGGGAAAGGTATATTGGGGAAAGCATTTCAAAGCCATTTTAGTATTCATGACGTCATAATAAGGTTATTCAAATCCTGCCATTCCATCAGCCATGCCGTGATCTAGGTATCAAGGCAATCAAATATGCAATTGTCGAAGCCTCATATCTGGCGTTTGTAAGCGCAATTTCTGGATATAGCGGCCGTTTATTGGCTCTCAATCAATGTTGTGCAAGGCACGATGACGCAAACAAACTATGACGCATTGAGGAGCATATTTGCCAAGCATGTAATTGTGCTGTCAAGAGCAGTCTTTTGTACTTAAAAAAGTATATTAATGGTTATAAGTGAGCTTGTTTTATCATATCTCATGCCTCCTTCAATATCCTCAAATGTGAAACATTCCTTTTAACAATGGCGTGTTAAGTGCGGTTTCCTCCATATCCCCCGGGCACTCGGGATGCTTCCGTCGCTCCTCGAGAGGCGCACCACCGCGCGTACGCACTGCACGCGGGCGCGCAGGCGTTGGCCGCTCCGCCAGAAAATCAGTCTCATTGTCGTGACCGCGGGGCGGACCTGCCGCTGCCGCAGACAACTTCTTGCACCTGATATTCCCGGGCGTGGTGCGCGACGAGGCCTTCTGGCTCTTCTACAGCTACTTCGGACAGTACAGTTCGGTAGCCAACTACTGGAACGATCCTCACGAACAGGAGGAGTACCGCCAGTACAGCAAGTTCCTTGCGCCCCTGAACAATGAGGTAAGGCCCCCGGCGTCGGCCGGTACATTAGCTGTCATTCAGACCTGGCGGTTATTGAAACATCATGACCCGGTGAGGTAAGCGCTTCCTCGTATGTGTTTTGTCTTTTAAACAGCTGGGTTCATGATGGGCCTCATGTGGTCTGGCATGCTGCATACCTTCAAATACCATGGTTTATACTTTTGCATTGACCAGCAGCAATAAGGCGGCGGTTTGTTCTCATTCCAGTCTAAATTGTCTGAGCTGTTTCCTAAGAACAACGCCGTGGAGGAGCAAGGGGTTTGTGTAAGCTCGGCTTTATGTGTTTTGTATTTGGTCCATTTTATGTTAAAACGACCGGATAACACGAAACTAAAAAAATAGGATAACACGAAACTTCTTTCACATTGCACATAAACATGTCTTCAGGTTAAATATACGGCTAAAACATGATCCTACAAGTTTTAGAGCCACCCGGCGTTTTAAGACGGAACTAGGAGCACATGAAAATGCGCGATGACAGCACTCGCCCAACTTGTTAACTTGCTCTATCAAAAACAGGTTGTGGAGGATAAGGTTTGGAGAAAGCGCATCGGAAAGCTAGATACATATATTTCTCTAAGACATGGATCGGCATAACATTCAAGTTCACTTAGGTACATCTAGTGACCCAATCTGGCATCTGAACTCGTTTCCTGAAAGTCAGCCTTTTGATTTTCCGTAATCCGATATGCCATTGAAAACTAATTTATTGTCGTTAAACCAAAAAGGGAAATTGATGGCATTTCTCCTATATCGGTCGTAAACCAAATTTCAATATTTGCGGATCACGCACGGCGACACGTCGTGAGCTGACCGTCCTGTATCGTGCGAGTGGGCACGATCGGCCCACTCCGCCGAGAGCTGTTACTGTGACGACGAAACAGTTCATTTCAATCATAGAATCAGTCAGCTGGACATTCTTCCGGAGTTCCAGAGCAATGTCCCGTGACGAACGTGCGTTGATCGACCTGGTGCCTGTCGTCCTTTACGAGTCGCCTAGGTGACAGCGGCGTGCGCTCCGAGTCTTCACCGAACATCGATGACCTTATCAAGCTGAGCGGGAGCTCAACACAAAAAGACGCAAACAGCTGGTCCGAAGTTACGTCATTTTGTCCAATCTAGATTTGAGCCGGGGCAAAGTCGCCTTGTGTCCTGCCCCAGCACGCCTGGAAACGAATACACGGAAACCGATGCAGCACATATATAATTCGACGCGGTCTCACAGCAAACCAGGCCGGGGTCCAAGAAAGGGTCAGTGTATGTGTTTGTAGAGCCGTAGTGCTCTACATACACACACTGAATTGCGGGGAAAGAAGACCTGTAGTTTTGCCACATTCTGCGATGCCCGTAGTGATTTCTCAATAAAAGAAATCTGGTGAAATAAGTATAAAAAAATAAAGAGTGCTTGCGCGCCATAGCGAGATAATGGGGAGCGCATATGCGATCATCAGGAGCAAGGGCTGTTGGCTTGTGAAGTCGTTACAGTTATGCAGAATTGCCGCGTCAAGGTGAAGACATTTGTGGAGCCGTTCGACCTGAAGCACGAAGCAACAAGCAGGAGCTCGCGCCAAATCACCGACAGTTATCTAACTCTGCCCTAAAGGGTGTGCAGGAAATTGGGTATCAATCGCATACGGCTTGCTGACATAAGCGTAGTCATTCGCCGTTTCCAATACTGATGCAATCCCGTCAATGAGGAGGGGGATGTCGGAACCACAGAATCTATGAACACGAGCTCCGGATAAACGGCAGGATCGAGCTCAGCTACGAAAGTGCGAGCACTGATCGCGAGATCACTATGTTACGATTTATGATGAATAATTATTCATGTATCTCGTGATCGTCATTCTAAGGTGCAACGTGGAAAAGTACACACAGTAATGGCTGCGACCGGCGAAATGTCTGCCCGCTCATGCTTGATGATTTAGTTTTCCTGTCTATGCAAATTTTATTGCCGCCTGACTTCTTTGTGTCCGTGAAACGGCTGACAGCAGGGGTTCTGCCGGAGTATTCTTAATGGAGAAGCCCGGAGTTCGTTGAGTATGCATTATGTCGGTTTTTCACTTTCTTACGGAAGCCATCTATATTGAAACACGGCAAATCCTGGTCTGACAAAGGGTCCTGGGCCCTCCTAACTGCTCCCCTGGCTGCGTTCCTGTCTGACAGGGCGTGAAAACCAATCATGTCCAGAAGTGAAATACTGACGTCACAGGATATGTTTTAAGTTTGCCGCCCACATTGCTGGTTAGTGAAGAGATCAGTTATGCATGCAGTTGATGAAATGTTCTGCGAAGCACAGCTCTGAAAAGCTCTTCGAATCACAACTTTGTGCGTTTTACTTATAGGCTATCTGCCATGCACATGCACGCACACCACTTTCTACGTATGCTCCTGCAGTTTGCATAGTAATTTGCGTCCTTTAATCTTGCCGTTTCATTCCCGCCTCATGGAATTAGTTTTTGAAACTTTGTACGAAGGAGAGGCACAAATTTGTGCATTTGAATCATGGCTTTGCTGACATATGCACACACATTACCGTCCTACAAATTATCATGCAATTTGTTTTCTATGTTGCGTATTAAACCGTGCCGTTTCATTTCCATTCGTGGACATACTTATCATCGATTGGACAGCTAATGATACGCAACACGATACAATGCTTAAATCACAGGTTCGAAAAACGCACAAACTCTATATGAAATGCGCAGCTACAAACAGCATCAGTCCTGGGGAAACGCGTACCAGTTACGCTAGTTGACATCCAAGGTAATCCCATAAGTGATAGTGCACTGACACACTTCAGTGCGACACACTGAATGCAACTACCTAGTTGTACAAAAGCCACAGTGTAGAATAACCAACCAAGGATCTGAACCTGCTTGTTTGCTCTTTTGTATTCGCATCAACTGATATCAACAAGTCATCAACGACATAGCCTGTTAAAATCGACGACTGTGGAACTGATCATGCATGGCTGCACACAGCATCGTTGAAATATCACTTGGCTCTTTCCACGTGAATAGGATGGACAACAGGTACGTAAGATTGATCAAAATACATCCTTGACCTTATACACCTTTTCTGAGTGCCGGTTGGTTTTGAGGTCACAACTCCCGACGTAGTGAGCCTATCGTGTCCGCTCACCCGATACAGGCCGGTAGGTGCACGGGGTACCTCCGCGCGTAAGCCGCCATTGTTCAAATTCGATTGGCAACCGATCTAGAAGAGATTTCATCGATTTATTTCTGCCTTCTGAACGGCATTAAATTGGTCTTTAATTACATATCGGTTTTGTGAAAATCGAGGGCACCATGTGTTACTGGAACATGAAGCCAAAATCAAACTGGTTTACTATATTTACCTAATTGGGACACTCTGTCACACACGTGAGCAGATACTTTCTCAGAGAGACCAAATGTCACATTTTGTCCCAATATCTGCGAATTACAACAGACTTCTTACGAAATCACGCAATATCAAGTGAAAACCTCTTGAAATGGGGGGGGGGGGGGGGGCATAGATCTCACCCCGGCATTTCCTGAGCAAGGTGGCAACGTGGCTGTGCTCTGCGCAGGATGAAGCTGTTTACAGGGCCGCGAGCACAGCCGGCGCCAGTGTGGCTGACGGCTTCACTTTGAGGGCTGGCGCTGTCCGTCCGCCAGGTGTTGACGGGCGAGTCTGCTCGGTTCAGGCGGAACCTGTGCCGTCTGAAGCGTCTGGTGCTAATCGGTGGGCCCGACGACGGTATCATCACTCCTTGGCAGAGCAGGTGAGGAGCGGCGTTATCACTCCCTGGCAGAGCAGTTGAGGAACCGTGCCATCACCCCCTGGCAGAGCAGTTAAGAAACGGTGTCATCACTTCCTGGCAGAGCAGGTGAGAAATGATGTCATCACTCCCTAGCAGAGCAGGTGAGGAACAGTGTCATCACCTACTGGCAGAGCAGGTGAGGAACGGTGTCATCACTCCCTGGCAGAGCAGGTGAGGAATGGTGTCATCACTCCCTGGCAGAGCAGGTGGGGAACGGTGTCATCACTCACTGGCATGGCGCATGAGGAACGGTGTCATCACCCCTGGCAGAGCAGTTGAGGAACGGTGCCATGCACGTAGGTGCCATGCATTGCAATACTAATAAAATTGAATGTTTGCTACTGGACCACTTTTTCTCTGTTGTATGGTATATATGTGCTGATCAATTTCTCAAACCCCCATGTGCTTGAGCATGCTGTGCCTTAGGTCGTAGTGTGCGCCAAATTTATAAAAAAATTCCGTGCACTGCAATGTGTAGGTGTCTGCATATCTTGTGGCCAAGTGTGTGCTGCTCGCCGTCGGCTGCTGTGTCTGTATATTTTGTGGCCAAGTGTGTGGTGCTCGCCGTCAGCTACTGTGTCTTTACAACTTGTGGCCAAGCATGTGCTGCTCGCCGTCAGCTGCTGTGTCTGTATATCTTGTAGCCAAGTGTGTGCTGCTCGCCGTCAGCTACTGTGTCGGTATATCTTGTAGCCAAGTGTGTGCTGCTCGCCGTCAGCTACTGTGTCGGTATATCTTGTAGCCAAGTGTGTGCTGCTCGCCGTCAGCTACCTTGTCTGTATATCTTGTGGCCAAGCGTGTGCTGCTCGCCGTCAGCTACTGTTCTGTATATCTTGTGGCCAAGCGTGTGCTGCTCGCCGTCAGCTACTGTGTCTGTATATCTTGTGGCCAAGTGTGCGGCGCTCGCCGTCAGCTACTGTGTCGGTATATCTTGTGGCCAAGCGTGTGCTGCTCGCCGTCAGCTACTTGTCTGTATATCTTGTGGCCAAGCGTGCGGCGCTCGCCGTCAGCTACTGTGTCTGTATATCTTGTAGCCAAGTGTGTGCTGCTCGCCGTCAGCTACCTTGTCTGTATATCTTGTGGCCAAGCGTGTGGTGCTCGCCGTCAGCTACTGTGTCTGTATATCTTGTGGCCAAGCGTGTGGTGCTCGCTCGTCGGCTGCTGTGTGGTACTGATCGGCGACGGTCCACCCCCAGCCAGTTCGGCTTCTACACGGCCAACATGACGGTGCTGGACGTGCGCCAGCGCGACTGGTACCGGAAGGATCGGAACGGCCTCCGTACGCTGGACAGGCGGCACGCGCTGATCCTGCATACATTCGACGGCGTCCAGCACTTCGACTGGCACCACAACATTACCGTCATCCGCGAGGCCATGCTGCCTTACTTGGACTGAGGCGCCGAAGACGGTCCTCCGACCGGGGGAGGGACGGAAGGGAACTGGCCGGGCCGACGGACCGTGCTCGCGCGAGCATGGTGGGCCCGGCAGGCCGTCGTCTGCTGATGGCGATGTTTGAATATAATGATATTCATAGCCAAGCCATGTGTTGATGGTGCAGAGACAATATCTAGAAAATCGTGGACACTACCAAAATTCATATGGGTGTGCGCAGAAAAGCTTTTGCGAGATTTTTGACGTCATGTGGTTGTAATGTCAACAGGCTTGTTTAGTCATATTAGGGGCATTCGGTCGTGGAACTTAAATTACGGATTAAGAAACAATGACACGTTTCACATGCAAGAAAGTGGTCCAAAACTGTTCTTGAGGAGCACACTGTTCTAAGGCTGGTTGCGCGTAACAGTCAAGCACCCACAACTTCCAAACCGCGTAAAAGGTTTAGAAGTGGTTCCGGCGCTCTCCGCGAGATGTCTCGCCTGCAGGTCGTGATGTGACCATGGTGATACTCTATATGTTTAAGGTCTACTTCCGTCTTTTACCGCCAGCTGTCCCGTGTTCGAGGATCAAGCCTCAGAGCTGGTTTAATGATCGAGCCTCAGAGGTTGAGGATGGAGCCTCAGAGGTGATTTGCGTCGTTTGCAGCCCAACGCTCGTGGTGCGCTCCTGCACTGTTGGTATTAGCCCACGTGACAGTGTGCAGGCCCGACGCGCTGACGTGGGATGTGTCACGTGGTGGTTACGAGGGTCAAAGCCGATCGACGTGCGCCAGCGTCAGTCACTTGCACCGCACATGGCTTCTGCCGGCATCGCCGGCCGTGATAGTCGAGCTGGCTGCCGTGAACAATTTGCCGCACCCAACATGCGGGCCGAAAATCTTGTGTGAAACATACTGCACTTTTCAATGGTCTTTGGATGCAAATCTCTGATATTGCGGGTTGGGCTTCAACCCGCACATTATTTGTAAGCCAGCAAAAGTCCGGCTAGTTGATGTCGGGTGTAAAGGATGTATTCATGTCACGGCATTGTGTATAATATTGATCCGATGTACTCAGGTCTAAAGTGTGAGCTAGCTGCGTCAAATAGACGGCAACGCCCACGAGAAAATGCATGACAAAATGCTAGGTTTTAACTGGCAGCGAAACAACTGTCTTTAAGAGCATGTTTGGAAACGTGGCTCTAGTGTGCGATGTTTTATGTTCCCTTTGGTTTTTCGGCCTCGATGATTTCACGCCGACTGTCCCTGTTGAAGCAGCCCCTTTCTGTGCATATTCCTTCACCTGTGGGGGAAACGCTCGGGAAATTTAGCCAGGAGGTCATGTCATTGTTGCGGATTACGTGCGTGCCGATATTTAAGTGCGTACAAAGGTGGTACTTTGGATACAAAAACATATTGTTTAGGCAGTAGCCGATCTCAGGCAAAATAGTCCTGTTTCTTTTCGCCTGGACACTTTGCCATGACCCTGGGGCATGCTACACGGGATCGACAGTTCTCAGCCCTTGCTGACGAGGGATCGGCAGTTCTCAACCCTTGATGGCGGGGGATCGGCAGTTCTCAGCCCTTGCTGGCGGGGATCTGCAGTTCTCAGCCTTGCTGGCGGGGATCGGCAGTTCTCAGCCCTTGCTGGCGGGGATTTGCAGTTCTCAGCCTTGCTGGCGGGGATCGGCAGTTCTCAACCCTTGATGGCGGGGGATCGGCAGTTCTCAGCCCTTGCTGGCGGGGATCTGCAGTTCTCAGCCTTGCGGGCGGGGGATCGGCAGTTCTCAGCCCTTGCTGGCAGATTCGGCGATAATTCAGCTCTAAGCATCACACACCAACGGGCCGGACCAACCAGAGCAGGCTCTCGCAGGGCACTGAGTGTTTTCGGCTGTGATACTGTAGTGGCGCGGGCAACTCTGTTGAAACCGCAGGAACCGCCACTTCGCCAATTGCAAAACCAGCTGCGTAGCCGCATCGACATCGCCTTCAACATGCCGGTCACTGCCAGCAGGACGATCTTCATGTGCAGTCCCGGTTATGTCGCTTAGCTGGTAGATGACTGTTGGGCTCTGGGAGCGTCCGTATCACACTAAACCCCGCTGAAGAAGGCAGGTGCGATTCTGGGTTCACGTGACCTCTGCGCTGGCAACGGGTCAAGAAAATTGACATTCTAGGCACCATCCCAGCAGAGGCTCATGTGAGCTATCGGAGGGCTATCTTGGGCGTCGTTACGCGTCTGAAATGCAGAATGTCAGACTTCCAAAAGTCCAACGGAGACTTCGGTTCCAAAGTTGCCTCACAACCATTGCGCGTCGTCGAACTGTGGCAAGAACGGATGCTTCCATTGCTGTTGGTGGCCCTGGTCGGAGTACCACGCAAACTTCCGATGGTTCTGCAAAGGGAGCTGCTGCACCGGCTGGACGAACCGCTGTGTAGCGTACAGCCGAATCAGCTGGACCAGCTGAGCAGTGCAGTGCCGGCTGGACCAGCTGCTGAGCAGGGTCCGGCAGTGGCCACCAGACCAGCTGGATCGCGTGCCGCAGATGCCGGCTTCGGCATCATGGAAACCATGCTACGTCTGACTTACTGTTGCCAATGTCTCCGCACATTTCTCGTTGCAAAGTACCAGAACGACGACGCGAAGCTTGTGTAAAATTGCATGTGGCGGGCGCCGGGCCTAACAATCTGAGGTCATTAGACCAATAGAAGAGGTGAGTTACACTTTTGTCAACCCATCTTACACAGACTTGTGCGACCATTGTTCTGACAGACTGCTCATGTCAGCAAAGCCTTGACGTGATCACAGCACTCGCTTAAAATTCCAAACTTGAAGCACCTTGTTTCGGCCCTGTCGAACGGCTGTCGCCGGTATTCAGAATAGCAAAAGCAAAAAGCACGCCTAGAGACCGTCGTATGCGACACATGGTTGAGAACGCGTCGCAAATCTTCTTTTGGCCAGCTGTCGAAACGCTGCGGACGGCAAACACGCGAGCATACACGCGTACGGATACATACTCTCATTCTGACAGAACAGTGAAATATAAACAGCGCATTTTGTGCGTTCTATTATTTTGAATTCAGTTATCATGACAGCCGCCAGGGCTGGTCTGCGCCCGGTGCATCCGACAGGTTTTGTTGTGGTCGGAACCATGGCGCGAGCCAGCACCATCCCATCATTAATGCAATAACACGGCGCGCTGCCGCTGCGGGGTCCGACGATTCATTGGAATAAATAGCTCGTTTCACAGTCTATCTATCGCATCTGCTCTGATGCGAGAAAATGTATGTGCATACATATAACCAAAGGCACTGGCGGTGCGCACCGCCTTACGCACGCGCGGCATAGTACACGTAAAAGCGCACTCTACGTGAGAGGGAGGCTATACAGAAGCTTTCCCTCCTTCACCAAGTCAACGCAGTGGTGTGCAGCACGGTGATTGATCCATTCCTCTGCGGTTTTTCTGGCATTGCTCCGAGTGTCTCAAACCTTTGAGAAATCACTCAATGTTCATGTGCTACGCCAAGGCTTTGCCCCAAATCTTCCGCGAGCAGTATGCGGGGCGCAGGTTTTCATACGGTTTCTTCTTCCTAGAATTATGTTTGGCACCATGATTTTTAAACCAAGGAAAGGATTGTTCGAGATAGCCACTGTGCCCTCCGCTTAACTGCTGTACCGCACAAGCTCATCGAGTTAATATCCGGGACAAGCAAGCAAATAACGAGTCACCAATGACCTAACGCCGAAGCGCATCTTACCGATCGTGGATAAAGGAACAGCTCTATACTGAAAGCTTCAAAGACACCCCGTTTGAAAAATTGAGCAATGCACCATATCGCTCGGGCGCCACCTGCGGCCTAAGAAGCACGCACTATCCAAACCTTGGCGAGGCGCTGCTGCAGTTCCGCCCGGCAGGGCCCGACGGTGGCAAAAAACGAGTCTCGGCTCGTTTCTTACCCCAGTCGGGCCCTGCCGGCATATCCGGTACATCCTCCCATATCCCACACATTCGCAGTCGCACCAGCCCGCCGCTCTAACGCGCCGGTGGCGTGACTTGAAGCCACGAGAGGCGCGCCGGACCGGTCGGGCCGAGACAGCGATCATGACGGACGAGCGGCGCTACATCTGGGCTGAACTGCCAGCGCGGCGAGTAAACGGCGGCCGGCGTGGCTGGCCATCTGTTTCTCTGATCTCCGGCCGCCGGTTAAGCCGCTGGCCGTTTCTTTGTTCGCTAGCGAATTGGAAATGCCCTCACGTTCAGCTGCCTTTAAAGTCTCGCTCCCTCTCCTTCCTTTCGGGGAATCAGCGCGTTTGGAGAGCAGCTGTCAGCCACTCACGGTCCAGGCAGATCCTGCTTATTAAAAAGGCACGCCAGTTGGAGCCGACCGATGAGATGTAGCTCGCTAGGCCTGCGACTGGGTGACCGCTCGCGGTGCGTGAGCCCGACTATTTGGCCGGCGGTGCGCGTCCAGCACCAGTGGGCCGACCCGCGGCACCCTAATCACATTACCTGCCGACCAGGGCCGACCAGCTCAGCCCATTTAGAACCGAACCGAACCGGGCCTGGCCGGACCGAGCCGCGTACTGAGCTGAGCTGAGCCGAGCTAAGGCGAAGCCGAGCCCGACCGACCGACTGCTCGGGTGGCTCATCGGTCCGGCTCACCATAGACCCAACATTGGTCGGGTGGGGTGGGGGGTGGGGGGGGGGGGGGGGGGAGGGGGAGAGTGGTGCCCTCTTGCGAATCTGCGCGATATTTAAAACGGCTGGTGGTGACATAAGCATGCCTTCTTCGCTAACGTTTTACAGAAATTGTGCACGGTTAGTAAAAGCACTTCGCGCTATATCGGTTCCAGATGTAATGACATAACAATAACGTTCAATTCCAAGACTTTCTGGTTTGGCAAAGGGTTGTAGAAACCATCGCATGTTGGTAAGCAAAAGAACTTGTTTTGGATCCTGATTGAACAAAATCGATTCTAAATAAAAATTGATCTTGATTGGACGATCAATCAAAGTGTTAAAAGCTGTGACCTTGTTTTCCAAGATAAAAGGAATGTTCAAAACATATGAAGATATTAAAACCAGCATCAGATATGATGAAATAAATTCACTTATAACTGTTGATTTATTTAAAGCGTAAAAGACTGCTGTACCCCACACAATTTATTTCCTAGGTAAATATCCTGCTCAATGCGTCATTGCTTGATTGCGTCATGACCCATTTGCATGACGCTGAGGCACTGGCAAGCTAGTCGTGAGATTTTACCACCCTCGCACTCACTTGTAGTACTTCATTTTCCCGAGAGGTGGCCGTGGCGGTGCTCGAGGTGCTTTTTGAGCTAAGTGTTATGTGCTTGTGTTTGGCCCTTTTTCGTAGTGGTCTCGTTCATACATCCACGAGTGTTAAGATGCGATCACATACGTGGTTGTGGTGCTTTTCGTAAGTTATTCGATTACAAGTCTTCTTTCCGTAATAACTAGCAGCCATGTAAAATTGCTATATTATGTAGAAAATTGCGGTTCGTGATTGAAGCTTGCGCAACCCATTCAACATTGCTTGAGAGCCAATGGACGTCCATTGTTGCGTCTGATCGTACTCACGAACGCCAGACATGAGCGGCTCGACGATTATATACTTGTTGGCCTTGAAGGCCGTGTCACGAATGGGGTCCTAGAATTTGAATGACGTTACAGCGTCATGCATGCCTGAATGACCTTGAAATGACCTTGCACGAAAACGTCTACACATCTTCGTGGGCGTGTGGCTCAGAAACTAGAGGGATGTAGGTCTAAGGAAGGGCAGGGCTCTGAACTGCACCGTATGATCTTCAAAATGGATATTTCATTTAAAAACCCCATACAAACGTGGAAAGCTTTCATTATTGATAAATTTGCATGATGAAGCAAGAATATGTTTTCAAAATATTATTTCAGCTCATTAGCGTTCTACAAAAATGAAATTAATGTAATAAAAGCTGGTAAAATACATTTCCAGGTTTGTCATATGAGTGCCAGATTCAATGTGACATATCAAACATCAGTGAAGCTTGATCATTGTACGACTACGACTTCGCAATGCCCGAGGTAGAGGACGGAGAGGTTGGGTGAGCCCACTAGTGCTGAGATAGGTAAATAACGGGTAAAGTAATAGGTAATATGCAAGAAATGTCGGGTAAATATTCTAAGAAATACTACGCAAAATTTTACACTATATTTATTTCTCATTTTATACTACTTTTATACTAATACTACGCGTCAGTGTTTAGCACTTGTAGTTCTTTTGGTCATAACAAGATCCATTCACACAACTTTTGCAATCAGGCCACTCTTGCCACTTTTCCAACCAACATAAAAGGGTAACTTGGGGCGCAAAGTTTCCTGAAAGTCTTCCATGGTTTAGAACTTAAAATTAGACGTGTGTGGAAAAAGTGATTAGTGCTGGAAACATGCAGACGTGTGCACATTGGATGGATATAATTGATTGCCGCATAACTGAAGTGACGAAGCAAAGGACAGGCACTCAACCATTTATGGGAGTTGCTGGCTAATACCACGTTGTATTTCGCGCAAAAGCACACACTGCTCGGTTGCCGGAGTAGTCTGGCTCGGCCAGATCCCCAGAGCTCTGACAGCGGACGCTGATGCGGGCTGCCCATGCCTCGCCGTGTTGGGACGCCGGCGGCAGACCACACGGCCGCACTGCTGTCAGAGCTGTCCGACGACAGCCAATATGGACAGCTCTCAGGGGACCAGTCCAGTGAACAGGAAGACGCGCCTGACCAGTCTGCCGCTGAGCCGGAGAAGCCTCCTGCCTCCGCGCCACTCAGCGGCCATGAGGCCACGCCGGAAGCAGGCCCAGGCTGACTCGGACCTGCTCCCGGTGAGCTCGGTCGGGCCGGAGCTCGTCTAGAACTCTCGCCACGGTGCTGCGGCGAGTGGTCTGCTCGGCCCCAGCCCATTAGCCGCGGGCTGGGTCGAAACGTGCCGCGCAGCCGCAGCTGCCGCCGACGCTGCCGAAGCCGCCGCCGCCGCCGGTGCCAGACAAGAACCCGAGCAGCCAGCAGTTTGACGCAGTATGTCGACGTGCTTACGCCGCCGGGCGCGTCACGATCGAGGTCCAGGCTTTCATCCCTGCTATCGGCGACGAACGCGCCCACGACATAACCGAGATATCGGCGACGAACGTGTCCACAACATAACCGAGCTATCGGCGACGAACGCGTTCACGACATAACCGAGCGAAACAACAAGCTGGATGGTGCGAGGCGGCGCCGGTTGCCAGAATAGTTGGACACCCACAAAAGGACTGCATCTTATCGGCCGGTCATCCATACCAAATCCCTTAGGATTCGGTATGGATGACCTTAGGCTGTTTTTGCCGCTCGGGTCTTCCGGACGCCTGAAAACTATGCAGTTAGCGACTTTTCAGTTAACAACTATTCAACCCGTCCACTAGACGTTCTATTTTCCAGAGCATAACTCACGTTAGGACTTTTGTCATACTTCTCAAAACGATGCATTTGCGATCGCACCATACGCGCTGGGTGAATCACAGATGATAAGCTTTCCACCTTCTTCAGGGTACTCGAAGAATTGGACAAGAACCTGAGCGACCGATGTTAACTGTGGGATTCAAGCCCTGGCTTCCAGGCAGCCTTTAAATTACGGGTTCATTTGAAAGAGCTGCTACGCTAAAATGAAAGAAATGTGATGCATACAAATGCCAAAAGCAAACAAAACATCAGGTGCACTGCTAATGAGCAAAACCTGTTTATAGTCTAATATCCTGTAACTGACTGTTGCTTGCGCATTAAGGAACACTGTTGTGCTACATTGTACAGCTGAGTTTGTGTACATTCATCCTAACCAGTGCACATTGTTACTAATATGTACTGTTGTACATACATGCGAGTTACCAACTATATTTCTTGGAAACGTGGAAACGCAAACCAAATAAGACTACAAATGGTATGGGCGTTGACCAGCACCGGCCGCAGAGCACCATGTAACCTTTTTCGCCGGTTTTTCTGGTCGAAGACCTGCTGACCAACCACCTCACTGTCATCGACAGGTGACGGCCAAGCCAACGCGCCACCGCCCGAGTCATCACTGTTGGCGTGGCGCGGTGGGGCCACGCTGGCGTGGCGCTGCTCGCCGGCCGGCAGTACTGCTCCGGCGTTGTCGACGCATGACCAGGCGCCGCTCGTCGTCGGGCGGACTGGCAAGCCCAGACGGGCTCAGGTTCCCAGGTATGGATGACGACTTTCAAACCTCGTCCTTGACATAGCCATGCGGCTATCTATACCATGGCTGCCAAATTCTCAACGGTCGATGTCGTCAAGCTGCACGTACAGTGACATTTTTGTTTCACTGTACGTCACATCAATAACTGTCACACTAATCAGAAACCTAAATTTTCCATTCGCTGATCCTTTTGAACTCGGCAAAAGTGTCAGCGAAACTCGGCAAAAGTGTCTGTCGCATGCAAGCTTGCAACGCAAGCCTTGTTAATTCAGTGTAAGCATATCTGTCATCATTTATGCAATACAGACGTTTGCAGCTGCAAACACTCGGGCAGCAGATTGCCAACCACGTTGTCTAGGATGTACGACCAAGGACTTTGTCCCGTGGCATCGGGTTCGGGTCCCTGAGAAACCGGACTGTTTGGCAGGACCATGATATAGTGGTGAGCTGGCGCCTGGCCAGAGAGTGATTTTCTGTGACGAGACGGCCGTTGCCGGCCATTTAGACATTTTCAGAAATCTCAAGCTTTCCGCAGTTCAGTCACCAATCGCCAAAAAGAGAGAAAATCGCGCCTAGCCGGTTGCTTTGAGAAAATTGCTAGTTTTGGTGATTTACTGCCAATAGTGGCAACCCAGTCCTATGTCTCTTGTTCTGTTATTGGACGGATGCAGTCACGCGCCAAAAATCGGATGCATACAAAAACAAATCGCCATGAAGTATTCTGCTGTGCGAGCACCACACAGATAGCAGATAGTAGAAGTACACTGCTAGGCCAATCTACAGGGACCATTCTGGGACCATTTATATGCGCACCGATGGCGTCATCGCTTCGGACCCTGCCTGCTATTTTCTTGCTGTCATTATTCCGTTACCATTTCGCTGGACGAAATGTCTCATCTGTATGGAAATTCCCGAGAGCGTTCGCGAATGGGATGTGGTGGTTAGGATTCGGCGTTAGTCGCCGATAACAGTAAATTCATCGTGGATCGGCACAGCAAATCCCGCACAACGAGACTATTCATAGCCTCAGTTATATTGATGCCAGCGTCATATACTTTTTGTTGTCGCTAGCGCCTTCCATTCTTCGCCACGGAATGGCCTGTTTGGACATATTGTAGTCGTCAGTTCCCCCAACAAAAGAAAAAAGCTGGAGAGGGCGCGTTATATTTGTAGTGCGAGCCTAAAGAGGTGGAACGCATCCGAAACAGATCGGCATCAGACAATGAAACGGGGCGTTACAACGTTCCTACAGCAGGCCGACGTCGGGGCTGATGCTAAGCGAAACAAAGCACAAATGAAACTGACGGCTCGTTCGCGAGACGCTGGACGCCCGGAAGCAGTCGTCCAGGATTGCGCTGTGGTGCTGATCGGAGCGCCGCGGGCGGCATCCCGGACAGCTGCGCCTGACAAGGAGCGCGGCGAGGAGGTGCTTCCCACCTCTCCTGGCCGCCATTGCTGAGATAGGGTGACACATGATACAATGTCCACGACACAAACGGTCCATAGCGTCTCTGCGGTGCTCCTCTGCCGCCGGAGATCACGGCCCCGCCGGTGTGGCCGCGCCACGTCCGCCTCCCGCGTCCTCCTCCTCGGCCCGCAGCCATCGCACTGAACCGCCGCCTTCAGCTGGGTAGTGGCAGAACCGAAAGAATATATACTCTATACGAAAATAGGACATCTGTGACTAGAAGCGATCCGCCGGCCCCAGACTGCGCGCTGGATGATCTGCCAGCTTGGCATAACTGACGTCGCTGACCGGACGGTACGCCGGCAACAGCTTAGGTGATGATTCGGCAGCTCTGCCTTAGTGACGTCACTGACCGGGTAGCCTGTCAGCGATCACCTGCTCTCCGAATCATATGACAGTCCACCAGTGACGTCACTAACCGCAACACCTGCCGCCAACAGATGACGCCACTTTGGAGCATCTCCCAGCGATGGTCCGGGTGCTGGATTATCGACAGCTGTCCCATGACCTGACGGGCCGCACGATCTCCCGGTAGCAGCCTAGGTGCCGGATATCGGCAGCTCTGTCCCACTGACGTCAAGCGGCCGCGGCTACCCGGCGGCGTGGACGGTGCGGCGCCGCTACTCGGTGAGTTTGTGCCATTCGGCGATCTGTCGGCGCGGCGAGCTGGCGATCTCGGACCAGTGGTGCGCCGCCGACGGCAGCCGCTTGCCCTCCGGCGGCGGTGTGCCCAGCTCCAGACGACCAATCACCTGCGGACAGGTCAGCGCAGATCAGCCCCAGCTCCAGATCAGCTGCGGCCCGGGCAGGTCATGTCAGGTCAGATCACACAAACTATAGATCACTTGCGGCCCGGTCAGGTCTGATCATGTCAGCCCCAACTTCAAGTCGCCTGCAGCCTGGGCAGGTGAGCTGAGGTCAAGTCAGGCAAGCTCCAATTCCAGGCGGTTGATTAATTGAGATTAACTTATTGATTAACAGGTCAGGTCACAGGTAAATCACGTCAGTAGGCTGCGGCGCCACTAATTCAACAAGTGTGCGGAAGGAAAGACACCGAAATACCTACCCCGTTGCACGTCCCCAACCCAGCGCAGGACAGCGGGAAGTTTACGAGCTCCCAATTTAATGAATGCGGTAAAACTGTTTGCACGCCTGAACGCGGACCGACAACGGCTCGCGCTTCCCTGTCATGCTCTCATACGGCACTCCTCAGAGGTGACCCACGACAATGACCACCCACAACAGACGTAAATTTTGCTTCAATTTCTGGACGCCAACAGCCTTTATGAGAAGCCATACGTCATCCGAAGTTCAAAATGGGTAAGCAATACAGGTCGCAATAGAGAGATAAAACAACGAGACAAAAATCACCGAATGCTGCAGGATACTAGAATGAACAACAATAATTTAAAACAGAGTCTTGTGTGCGAAAGAATGAAGTCGCACGTAGGCGCTTCGGGCGATGAATGCAGTAATGTAGATAAACCTCAAAGATAGAAAGGATAGGTATCTGAACGTTCCTATGCACCGGAACCAGCGTCGTTCTGCGCGTTTACTTCGCTCCGTCGAATGCAGGTCTCCTCGCTGTGGTGTTTCATTTCGTCCAAGCGCTGTTGCTGCTTTGTAAAGCTATTAAAGGAAGAGCACTTAGATGCCCTAAGATAATACATCACAAGCCTGTCGCGTGTCGTGGAAGGCGTCCTGACCCGGACCCCGGTCTCGGGAGTTTATGACCATCGCCGGTCGGCTTCAGCGAGCTGTACCTCGTTTTTGGTGACTCGATCCCAGTCGAGCAGCAGGAACTCGAGCCGCACGCCGGCCAGCGAGTCGCTGCCGGGCGGCAGCTCGAACACAAACGACTCGTTGAAGACCGGGTTCAGCGTTCGTTTCTTCACGTGAGGTCTTCTTCTTGGTGATCCGCTGGCCGTTGCAGAGCAGGTAGATCTTGACGTACGGATCTGCGAGACACGTGGAGTGTCATCGGAGTCGATCCTTGCAGACATTGCGCCGAAGTGAAACGGAGATCCAGTCTAACGTGTGTCGGCGGCCTCCCTTATTTATGGGTTGCGTCATAATTCTAACTCAAAATTACACATCACCGCCATGGCAAATCCTTCATCGTTCATGACGTCTCTTTCTGGGTTGTCGTTCGGTCAAGCCATTCAAACTGTAATCATGTGAAATCGCTCATACCAGCAATTAACTCATGCAAGCTGTGCGAAATTGATCGCACAGGGTCATGCATATGAGCATACCAGTTACGTCCACATCTCGTGCCGGAAGTCTAATTTGAAGGACGGCACAGCTGTTTGTCATGTTGCGTGAAAAGAGTACCCGGTGCATCAGCGGCGGCACTGACCAGAGAGGCCGGTGATGTCCATCTTCGGCAGGTTGCGAGCCTTCAGGACGACGACGGTCAGTCTGCTGGCGGCTGGCTGGTGGCAGAGTGACACCAGCAGCTCTCCACGACCCTGGCTCTTCATCTGCGGCAGACGGCATGGCGCTTGCGCTGTTGTGACGTGGAGATGCACCCCCCCCCCCCCCCCATCCGCGACCCTGGCTCCTCATCCGTGATAGGGGGACACGGCATGTGAGCAACGGTGATACAGGCATGAAAACAGCTCCCCGCGATCTTGGTTCCCGTCTACGGCAGAGGGACGGCACAAGTGAGATAGAGTGACACGGAAATGCAAACAATCCGTACAACTAGGTTAAAACGGCTACTTCGGTGATGTTTCCCAGGTGGACCTAAGCCAAGCAGTGATGTTTCGAGATTCCTTGACACGTCGAGGATTTCCAAGGTAGCCAGAGGGCACCAATATGATAAGGGATAACCCGAAACAACGGCTTAGCTTTGCAAAATCAACAGACGTCTGTACTGATACGAACAACACTGGATGCTTAAGATGAGATCACCAAAATAGTAACCGGTACGGATGATTGTGCTCTCGAGCCATCTCTCCTCTCCAAGTAAAGGCACACAATCTCACAAAGTAAACCGTTTCCAGACTCAGACAAACCCATGCCCGCATTGCCAGTGTTCCCGCCCCAGGAGATCGTCGGCATCGCCGATCCCGACGACACGCGACCCGCCGGGGAGTTGGCCGCACGGCACGCCATCAGCGCGGGTCGGACGCGATGATCAGCAGCCCCGTCAGCGGTCGGCACCGCCGCGGCGGCCGTCCGTCAGCGGGCCGGCGGAGCGTGCTGTCCGCGGCGGCGACGGCGGCCGTCGCGGCCCGCTGCAGCCGGCGCCCCGCGACGCGCCGCGTCCGGCCAATCACAGCGCCGGCCGCCGCCGCCCCGGGCGACGGACAGCTGCGCGGCAGCACGCGCCAAGGAATCGATGCCGAACGACGCCTTGTGGTGACAGTCTTCGAGTCACGCGCTGGTCGAGGGAGATTTAGTTCAGCGTTCGGGTACGCTCGGCCAGCTCGCTTTCCGGATTATTTTGTAGTAAGTAAGCCCCAACACAACCGCCGTGATGATGTTCGATTGCGTCCCGCTGCACATTGACTGAGCGCTGAGTTTGGTTGTTTGGATCAGAGCCCGTTCGACCAGACATGATCACTTCAGGGCTATGGGATGAAGACAAATGGATAACAGTGGGGCAGGACTACATACGACGCGGGGGGGGGGGGACCACCGAGCTTAGCTCACGTAGGGACCCCTCAGCGACCGAAGTCCCTCTCCAGAGGGCTCTCGGCTCACTCGTGGCTCACGCATGCAGCCTGCCCCGTAAAAGCGCGGCGTCGCGAGGATTCAAGGTAAAACAGGACAGAGGATAAGGGGGCTGGATGTTCAATCACTAATCGCGTTCTGCGCTCCATAGTAAAATAAGCTGGGTGTCCTTACCGAGTTATTGCGTTAATAGGACCTGACATTGGTTAACTTGAGAACAGCGCCATAACCGACAATGTGAATACAAGTAACTAAATTTAACTCACGAATAAACATACCAGAACGCCAGGAGAAAAGGCCAAAACAGAGCACGATATTTGCTTCAGTACCACAACGGCGACACCTCGAGCGCCGCCACAGCCAACTCTCGGATGATGGACGTACTACAAAAGAGTGCTAGCATGGCAATTTTACACGGCTAAGTTGGCAGCACCCCAACGTCATACAATGTACCCTGACATAATCAAACAATGACACATTGAGAGGGATATTTACTAAATCTAGAAATGCTGTTGTCTAGAGGAGTCTTTTCCATTTAAAGCCATACCAATAATTATAAGGGAGCCTATTTCATCACACCTGATGCTTGCTTCAATGTCTTTAAATGTGAAATATTCCCTCTACACTGCACATCTGGGTATCCAGAACCACGGTGTTCTATTGCCCGCGGTGCCCGCCGTTCCCGTCAGGACGAGGGACAGGCGACGCCATATAGCCTCAGCTGCTGGGTGCGACGCTAGGCCCCACTGATGACAGCGGACGGCATCAAACAAAAATTCTCTTACGACGATGCAAGTTGAATAGATGAAGAGCAGTAGAGATAAAGCCTCTCGACAACTAAAGCCCCGATCAGCGTCCGTCACTGAAGTGCGCAATCCCAGGAGCTGCATAGAGCTCTCAAAGGTGCACTGCTCGCTGTCTCCCAAACAAATCTGTGATTCAAATAGGGCAACTTTGTGAGCACAATCAACAGTTGCTGGCTGACGGATAAGGTAGGCTTTGTACCATAATCTTAAGTCCACGAATTAAAGCGCAGTTCGTCTTCAACTTGCGTATAAACAGTCCAGCTTGCCATTGCTATAGGATATTGATTCTTCCATCTAAGCGATCGCGCCAATTAAAGCTTTCCAACTTGTATTTCTGAAACGAGGAGAGCAATAGTAGCGCAAAACAGCTAGTTTCAGCTATTATACACCCACACGTACACGCACATGCACACGCACCTCAACATATATATATATATATATATATATATATATATATATATATGTAAATTTTGTCGTTTACACCTTTTGCTTTCGTTTTCAGTGCCGTAACGCTGTGGTAAAATGTATATATATATATATATATATATATATATATATATATATATATGTATGTATAGAAATGTTGCAGCGATGCGTTTGGTCCTAACATAAGTAAAAAAAGTTCAACTTGACGTTGCTTCAGAGTAATGACTTACATAGATTAGGGAATTGGGTTTACACTAAATTTTAAACCTTATAATCTGTAGAACGAAGAGCGTATTGACGCCGCAAAAAGGTCATATTTTTCCCGCCTTGTCTTCCTCTTACCTTACCTACATGCAAACGAAAATACCGCCGCTCGCACAAGTTGTTTTACATTACAGCAAGGTTACGTTATGGTGTGAAGTAATGCCGAAATGCTGGTGCACAGCAATTCTACCAGCCTCCAAAAGGATGCATGTTGAAATGAAAAATGTGGTTAAACTATTGCAGCGCAGAGAGCAAGGGAATGGCGAAGAGGACACCGCTTGAACTTGTGTGCATGCCACAGATTTCTACAGCTTTAAGAAAAAACACATTTCAGTCACTTTAACCTTAGAAGGCCACCAAGCGGCGTCTCTTTCGTTCATTAACATGAGCGACAATAATGTCGTCACGTCGAAAAATGAGATACCATGCGTCACGGTGAAAAAATGCGTGACGTGGTAGGGGAACTCTCTTCATGACTCAAACCATTTTGTATGACTCCGAAACCTATCTCCCAGCATCCGCAGTTCTGTTACCCTTCCCATGCCGCGAACACATGACCTCAGCAAAGGAGCCATCCCTCTGCTTCCGCTCGTACAACACTGTACCTATCAGCTCTGTGCACAAAAGATGCGCTCACTTGCAGATATATGGCAAATGCCATCATCTTTTACTGAACGGATACAACTGAAAAGACGCCTCGAAGCGATTGGGGCGGCGCCGGTCGTTGTTCAAACTTCATCCCGTGTTTTTACCGGATTAATATGAACTAAAAGCTACCGTTATCCGTCCGCACTCGCACCGGCATCCGAGCAAGTTTTACAAAGTTGGCTGCAGCCGGCAGTCGGCGGCAGCGAAAAGAAGGCTCTTCTGTGTCGTCGACGCTGCATCTGCTGCGGGGCCTGCGAGCGGCCGCGCCCGTGGAGCGCCGGTCGATATCTGCCTTGTCAGGCGATGCCCGCCCGCGATCGGAAGATAATAAGAGGCAACTCCGGAAATTGAGGGCCTTATCAGACCCCAAATGATTTTCATCGGCGGCCGTGGTTGTTTTCGAACGTCGCCGTGTCGGGGAAATTCGCGGCACGCGGCGGCGAGACAGAGCGTCCCGTCGCCGTCCCTCAGATTGCCCCGCCAGCTCCTTCTTTTCCCAATAATCCGCCGTTAATGATGCGTGTCATTCGCTTCCTCGGCGCGTATGGCGGCGATGGGCGGGCGCCGAGGCCTCCAGACAGTCTCCGGGCAGGCTCTGGCAGCTGCTCGGCAGAGCCTCGGAGTCACTGGCGGCCACAGCCGACCGACAGTGTCTCAGAGCCACTGGCGGCCACAGCCGACCGACATTGTCTCGGAGCCACTGGCGGCCGCACCTAACGACAGTGTATCGGAGCCACTGGCGGTCCGCAGCAGACCGACATTGTCTCGGAGCCACTGGCGGCCGCACCAAACGACAGTGTCTCGGAGCCACTGGCGGCCGCACCTAACGACAGTGTCTCGGAGCCACTGGCGGCCGCACCTAACGACAGTGTCTCGGAGCCACTGGCGGCCACACCAAACGACAGGGTCTCGGAGCCACCAGCGGCCACACCAGAGCCACTGGCGGCCGCACCTAACGACAGTGTCTCGGAGCCACTGGCGGCCACAGCCGGCCGACATTGTCTCGGAAGTACTGGCGACCATAGCCGGCGGGCAGGGCATGGCCAGTACTGACGCCCGGTGGTACCCGCCCAGCACAAATGGCGGGCACCGCCGGCTCGATGCCTCTCATTAAAGCGCGATTTGTCCTCAGGTATGGAATGAAACTGTACTATCCAAAGGAGAGTGAGCCGTTTCATTGGCTTGCTATAAAGACGCCTCGCCCCCAGTCTCCACACCGCGGGGCTTGATTCCGGATTGTCGGATTTCATTCCATCCACTATCACCTTCAGCCAATGGATTTCGCTCTATCGATACTTAAGACGCTACTGGGAGAGATCACGGTGGGACATCGTGGATGACTGCTATGCCAAGCTCGCAGTTCATTATGCCCAAAGAAGCCGTTTCATGTGTCGAACCAGTTTTCGCGCTTCTTTTGGTACGCTACGTACGCCACAAATATGACCAGAGTTCTGCTGCTAACCGTTCTGACATAACTAAATAAACCCACCCACAAGCGTGATCCGTGTTTCGGAGCAGCAGGAAGGTCTCTGCGGAGTTCCGCATGCCAGCCACCGGCCGCTGACATGCGGAACTTGGCGGGCCGCTGGCATGCGGAGCTTGCCCGGCCGCTGGCTCGCGGAGCCCGGTGGGCCAATAGGCTACGGGTCCCGGCTGGCCGGCAGGCTGCGGGCCCTGGCGGCGCAGCTGTGCCTGCTGACCTTGATGCTGCGCGGCGCGATGGGTCGACTGAGTTCACAGGTCGTGTCCTGTTCGGCCAGCTCGACGCTCGACATCGGGCACAGCACCTCGCCAATCACGTCGTCCCTCGAGTAGCGGTCGAAGCTGAGCACCACGAAGTGCAGAGTCGTGCTCTGTAACAGCCGGTCGGTGTCAGGGGGGCCACTGTAACGGCACCCAGCGGCGCGCTGGCGTCAGTGGCGCCGCCATCAAGGCACCTCCGGGCCACGCCGCCCTCCTCCGGGTCACGGGGGACGGGCGCGGACGGCGCCCGGGCTCAGCGGCACGATATTTCTCTCGACGTGAGCGAACTGCGCAGAAGGATGCTTTGAGCTGAGATTCTCTTCTACACCATAAAGCCAACGTGGGCCGCGTTTGATGGTCTCTTTCAGTGCAGGTGCGTGGACATTTACGGTGAGAATTGTGTAGCGCGTTTTATCGCATTAACGGGAATATTCCACATTTGAAGACGTTGAACAAACGTGAGATATCATGAAATAAGGTCACTTAAAATTTTTGGTATACTTTGATGCGGAAGACACCTCGCTAGACACATCAGTTTCTCTATTGAGCTGATATACTGCTCAATACGTCACTGTTCGATTACGCCATCGTACCTTGCACAACATTAATTGAGATCCAAGTGACGACCGCTATATCTGAAGATCACGTTCACAAGCATCAGGTATAAACGACTCGACAACTATTTTTGTGTTGGACTGGATCGCCGCATGGCCAATGGAATGGCAGGATGAAATGGGATGAATAACGTTATTATGGCGTCATGGATGACTGGGTGATCTTGAAATAGTCTGCACGAAATACTCTGCTTATTTTCTCGGCGTGTTGCTCAGAAACCGGAGGGATTTAGATCTTAAGAGGTGCAGGCCCGTGAACTGTGCGGTATGATGTCCAAGATCGCTATTTCAGCTCAAATCCCTATACAAATGTGAAACACTCCTTTTGAACCTCCGCCTCGTATGAATGAAAATCTAACGGCATTTTGCCAGAGTGCTTAGCCATAGTGAACGTTTTTGGTTACGCTGCCAGCCATCCAGTCAACAGTGTACTCTCTCGGCGAAAAGGCAGCTAACAAAGGCACCTAGTCCAAAGACGAATTACCCCAAGCTTGGTGAATTGAAATGCGTTTCTGTAGAAGAAAAAAACATTGCGGCTTCATTGTGTACGGTTCGGCAATGTTCTGCTTCTAAGTTCGGGAGAAAGCCGACAGCCTGCTAGAGAACAGCACACAACAATGTGAAGTACTGGCCTGATTTGCGACCGCGTTACATTGATGCGTATATGTTAACAACGGGCCAAGGCGAGGTCTGCAGAACACACCGGCGCTAACTCAACACACTGTCGTGCTTCTCCTCAATGCCTGAAAGATATGGGGATGATAGGTCTGATGGAAATATCTCTATTGACCGGCTCGCCTGAAACAGGATGACCACGACTGTCGAAAGTTTAAAAATCGTAATTTGACACAGATCAGCGAACAGCATGTTTAAGCAGGTAAACGTATCCTGACGCATAAAACAATAACAGATCAAATTATTCATAATTAAATAGAAATGATAATTGAACAAACGTTTTTGATTTCCGCCTTCCTTACGCCTAGGAGGAAAACACATCTGAATTTTAAGATGGGTTGGCATTATCCTTTGCGATTATCGGGGCCAGCCGATAGAAGGTCATCTATGCTTCACAGAACGGTACCAAAGGCCAGCAACAACTCTATTTTACAAGCTGCAGTCTGATTTCCTTCGGAAAACATCACAATTATTTTCATTTGCACCCTTGCATGTGCTCAGTACCACATCATGCAGTTTCGAAGGTGCACTGGTCAGCTGTATTACGCCCAAGGTATGCCTTGGGTGAATAAGGAGCATCAGGAGGAGCTACGCAGGTCGGTCACCAAACGCTGGCTTCGAAGCAGCTTCGGCATGACAGGCCATAATTTCCTGCACTGTAAACGACGCCAAGCTCCGTTGGAGCTATAAACATGTGCCTCAAATAAGTTTCTCGCTTGTTGCATTCATGGCTAATCTATGTTGTGGATGGTTGAATCCCCAAGATTTCAAACAAAATGAAGCCGAGAGAGTTGACCGTTTTCCAGGGCCCACCCTCCGTGTCATTCAGACGCGCCCAGCATCACCACCGCCTCACCTCCAGCTTGTTGAACTGGATGCCGTAGAAGGTGAAGTCCTCCTCGTAGACGGGGTCCTGGGTGTTGCGGAGGACGCGGGTTTTGACCTTGTGCTGTCGCTCGGGCAGAAGCTGCAGCTTCACGTAAGGGTCGCTGCCGGTGCCGGCCGCGCCGCGCGCCGGCAGACCGACGCATTGTACGATTGTCACCAGCAGCGCGGCCTTCTCAGAGTTGTACCTGCGCCGCGGGCCAGGCGGGTCGGATCAGCTGACGGCGGCGTAATGCGGCGCAGTATTCACAACGAAGCCCGAAGGAGTCGCCGAGGCCAACATCGTAGACAAGAAACAGGGCCATCACTTTATGTACTTTGGAAACTTTTCCCTTCCCGATCCCCAATGCTGACTTAAGCTGCTAAATGTGCCTCTACTCCCCCACCCCACTGAATATGAGCAAAAAGGGAAGGACTACTGGACTAAGGAAATGCAGACGATTTCCCTGAGATGATGGTACACTAGGTACATGAAGACATCATTTCTAGTTTCGTGTTCATTTTGTGCCACATAGTATCATGCAGATACCTTGTATGCTTATGTTATTCCAGCCCCTTTATATGCAAGCCAGCCTACAAATATTAGCTGGAACGGCATAACAAAAAAATGGACTGCGACCTGCGGCAGCTTTTAAGTAAAAGGCTTTCAAAATACAAAGGGTTTATGACGTTGGACAGTTGCTTATCACGAACGTCACAAATCAAGAACATTGCCCCGGAGAGCGACAGATCCAGCCGCACTTCTGACCCCCATTGGTGGCACCTCTTTCCTTTCCACTTCCGCAGGACGCGAAAACCAACATTGAATGTGAGAAAAAAACTCCCGCGCTTGTCCTGCAAAAGGACGAAGCCAAACCAACCGAGCGTCAGTCGCTAGATTACACCCGGCATTTCCACACAATCCCACCCCCGCCTCCAAAGCGGCCACATAAACAACCGCGTTGTTTTCGCCCCGCACCATTTTGACACGCCCACACCTCGTTTCGCGGGCGCTCGGCCGTCGCCAACGCTACCGCTCCCCGGGGGAGAGGGGCCTTCGCCTGCGGCCTCCTCCCCGCCGCCCCCCCCCCCCCCCGCCGCGCTCTGTTTTATTCGGCTAACGAGCGCTGATGACAGGAGCGCCGGCCGGCGGCGGCCGTCTCCGGCGAGCCGCCGGTCAACGGAAGCGGCCCGCATCAGCCGGGGACCCGGCCGGCCTGCATCAGCCAGAGACCCTGCCGGCCAGCCGGCGCCGAGTCAGCCGGAGCGAAGCAGACGGGACGAAGAGAAAGGACAGGGCAGGTGGCGGGAGAGGGCGGAGAAGTGGCACGCAGCGGATGGCAGCGAGGTGGAGGTTGCGAGAAGGAGGAGAGAGGATGGAAAAATGAGAGGGAGAAGAGGACAGACCCAATGACAAAAGGTGTTGAATGACAAAAGGCGAACGGTGGATGCACGGAGAAGGATAAAGGGAGAACGGAGGATGGACAAAAGAGAACAGAGAGCCAGTGGAGCGTATGGAAGAGGTCAGAACACGCTCTCATGCAACTGCCGATGAAACGGGTGTACATATGAACGCCACCGGGATAGCGTGGAAGTGCACTCTGAACACACAGATAACACCGTGTAAATAAGCGTTTGCATTTATCACAGCGCCTAAGGCGTGGCTTAGCCGCCATCCGGCGGAAGATTTATTATCCTGAGCCAGCGAATGCTTAGAAGATACAGAAAACCATTTTGGATAATGAATAGTCCTTGCCCCTGTTTAAAAAGATGCTTAAGCGACGTTTCCCAGATGATATCCCTGGCGCGGTGATAATATTGCGGCCCAACATTAGGGTTTGATGTTCCAAATGTCTCTGCGTGGGTTCGGCAAACCTATATGGACCATTAAAACCATACAAAAATGTTGGAAATACTGCTATTAGGGACCATCCATAAATTACGTCACTCGTAAAGGGGAAGAGCAGGCTTACGCTCAGGCACGGTTGCAAAGCTGTAACGATTTTTATTAATGTTTTGACAACACAACCAGGGGGATGTTGCCAAGTGTAAGTCGTGCGTTACCAGGAGGGGGCAGCAGGGGATTGAAAATGTCAAAAAAATCGTAACGTAAGTTATGGAAGGACCATCGCAAAATATTAATTCTTCGTGATGGTTGCATACATGAACAATGGCCCTATACGCATTAAGACAATCCCATGCGATGAACCCGTTACCAAAAGTGCGGAAACGCATCCAAAACTGGCCATTTGAAGAGAGCCTGGGTCCGGATGGTGACGTCATACAGCACTGTCAACTCGCCGGTCGGCTTTCAGATGTCTTTGGTTCACCGGGGATCAGGCTGGCGAGAGCGCTCGCTGCGACGGCTGGTTCACCGGGGATCAGGCTGGCGAGAACGCTCGCTGCGACGGCGCTTCATGTACCGTGAATCTTTTGTTGCTAGTCCTCAGAGCGAAATGGATTAGGAAGAAGGGTACACCATACTGCGTGTTTATTCAGATATACAGTTCTGGAGGGGTTATGTGACGGAAAACAACAGGCAGTCTTCTATCATAAAGCAACGCTTCGCGTATCCTTAAGAACTTCGCGGAGCGTAGAAAAAAAGCAAAATGGACTAATGAGGCGCGAAAAGGAGTGCAAAAGTATGCCTATGCTTAACAGCGCTCGGGGTATCAAGTAAGGAGTAAACTTTGGTCCAACAATATATACGTCCAAGATCTAAGTAAGCTCCATTTGAAGGGTGAATAAATTTCAAGCAATTATGAAATAATGAGATCAGGAATGGGGACTACTTATGCAAAACATCAGCTCAGCTGTAACGGCTCAAGTGGTTAAATTTGCGTAGCGGAGTGGATTCCAGCTCAGGTTTCTTCTCGAGGCATACAAAATGCATGCGGGAAAAATACCCCGAGAGCTACTGTAGAAAAAAGCTTGCGAAAGCAAGCGCAAAACGTGCTTTTCATTTTTATCAAGAACTTTGTACCGGGAAGTGACTAAAGACCGTTTGCACGGCGCTAATTCATTGCTGACAACACAGCCATTATTGGCTTATCTAAGCCAGACTTGTTTCTGACCTTGACTCTGAGTTAGAGTAAGAGTCAGGAGTCAGCCTTTGGCTGAATTAGGGTTGTGTCGAACCGGCCGAAAGCTCAAGGAGTTTGAGTATGGGAAGTAGTCCGAGTCTGAGAAAGAGTCTGAGTCTGAGTTCAGCCAGCTATCACACCCTGATACGGACGCTGACTTGTGTCAAATGACGAACCGTCCGGCTGATGACCTGACCTGGAAGACGACCTGCCCGGTCTGATGAAGATCCAGCTGCCACTAACCTGACCCGGAAGTTGAGCTGGCCCAGCTTGGTCGTCTCGGGCTCGTCCTTCTTGGGCGGCGGCTCTGACAGCTCGTTTTCGGTGAAGCTCTTAATGGAGCGGGTGGTCGTCTCGTCGCTGGGGCTGGGCGTGTGCAGGCTGGGCGTATGAGCCCGCTCGCCCGGCTCGCCGCCGCCATCTGAGCCAGAGCCGGGCGTGGCCGGTTTGCCGGTGGGACTGGGCGACTTCTTGAGGTAGTGGCCCTGGCTGCCGGGACTGCGCACGGCGGTGGGCCGGCGCAGGCCGACCGAACGCTCCGGCGGGCGTCGGTAGATGAGCTTGTGAGGCGGCGAGCCCCGGCGCCGGTAGCAGAAGCACGCCACGGCCGCCACCGAGAGCAGCAGGAGCGCGGCACCCAGGCAGACGCCAATCAGGGCCGGAGACGACACTGAAACGGCGGAGAGCGGTCAGGGAAAGGGACGACACTGAAACGACGGTTAGGGTGCAGGGCAGGGGACGACACTGCAACGGCGGGGAGCGGTCAGGGCAGGGGATGACACTGAAACGGCGGGGAGCGGTCAGGGCAGGGGACGACACTGCAACGGCGGGGAGAGTTCAGGACAGGGGACGACACTGCAACGGCGGGGAGGGTTCAGGACAGGGGACGACACTGCAACGGCGGGGAGAGTTCAGGACAGGGAAAGATATTGCAACGGTGGGGAGGGTTCAGGGCAGGGGATGACACTGAAACGGCGGTGGAGAGGATGGACAGGGGACGACACTGCAACGACAGGGAGAGGTTAGGGCAGGGGACAACACTGCAACGAGGAGGGGGCAGGCAGGGAGGTCAAGATAAGGGATGACGCTGCAACGGCGGCGGGGAGGTCAAAACTGGGGACGACATCGAAACAGCGGCGGAGAGGTCAGGGTTGATTGGGGACGGCACCCCAACGGTGTCGCGGAGGTCAGCACAGCGACCGACACGACACCGGGAGACATTGGGTGACAGCGCTGAGGGACAGGGAAGCAGGACGATTAGAAATGGAAACAGCGTGGAACATCTACGGGCGGACATCGGACAGAGGTCGGGAGGCGCAATAAAAATGCACGTCAGTATTCAGACATCAGATGTCGAAAACACACCGGAATCTCGAAGCAATGATATAAGTTGAGGCTGGGAACACGTCACGACACAACAACAAGAGTATCGGTCAAAGTTGAAAGCTGAGGTCCGCAGTCTGTCCAAAGCTGGGTCTGCAGTCGGTTGAAAGCTCATGAGTGCACTGACCGGCCTTATGCCTGCGCGGACGTGGTGGCGATGTTCCGAGCTAACGACAACTCTGCAGCTTACAACGAATTTACACATGTGAACCGTTCATCCTCACCATAAGACATACGAACAAAATAAAGAGGATTTTGGCAACTCCGATCACAGGCAGCGGTCGACTGAGGGGGGGGGGGGGGGTGGAGGGGTTAACGGCCACGGCAGTCATCCCGAAGCAATCTCGGCGTCGACCGATGTAGACGATGCGCTCTCGAATGCAGACGATGCTGACAGCAGCATTGTGCTTAAAGCCAAACGTCAGACGCAGCCCTAAGGCGTGAGAAGTCCGCGATCATGTTCACCAGCGGTCGTGCCTGCCCAACTGTCAGCTGAACTCTCTTAACTCGGCAGTCATTCTTCCCAACCTGAGACTGCATGCCCACGGCAAAGCCGGTGAAATGAAAACAGGGAAGAAAACGATATGGGGAATTCAGTTCTACACAAAAGTAATAATTTCCAATCTAGTTTTCTTCCTCGTTCTACGCAGTCTTTAAATGAAAGCATTAAAATGACAACAAAACTTTCTTTTGGTCAGGTGAGAAATCAGCATTTAAAGTTATTTCAGTTTGATAGGCGTGTGGCTAAGCTTTGACATGATTTTGCGAGGCCTACCACTGGTAAATGATAATCCTATGTGCTCGCACGTCAGATCAGTGATCTGTCGACAGACACGAAGACATTATCGTGCAGCGACAAGGTCGTGTTAGCTCACCACCCGGTATCAGCGAGAAGCCTTCGAAAGAAGGCGGTGAAACCGTTGCAAAGATCTCCGATGCGGAGGAGCTGGCAAAGTTAACATTAAATTTATCAGACATGCAAAGTTTCCGTCAAAGTGCAAAGTTTGAATAGAAGGTGCTAAAAGAAAGGCGGAGGGATCGGTCGGCACATTGTTCGCCGAGTAAAATCAGCGTAACTGATCCTTCAGTAGAGCAGAGGGCTGACTGAACGACTTAACTTTTCCCAGCAGCTTGACTACATTATTTCGTCGCCTAAAAAATGAACAAAGTTGTCCTTCATGTTCTGCTCATTTCAATCTAATCTCGCATGAGAGGCAGCCAGGCGGTTTTGATTTTCTGTTGCCGGTTGTAGAGATCGCCGCCTGTTGATTGCTCAGCCGCGTGAGTGTGCCGGAACTTCCGGCGTCGTTACACGGGCGGAGCGGCCGCCTGGGCGGCGTTCACCATCGCCAAACGTCGTCCAAAAGTCACAACATGTGACTTTAAATGTAAGTGCGCCACAACAGTCACTATCGAGTGGAGTGTACTCGCTTGTGTGTGATGCAGACAACTGTGACGCCATAGGTAACAACACAGATGGGTACTTCGCACTTTTTTCCTGGTGACCTGAAGCCATAGCCGGGGCGGGGGATTTACCACTGGCTAAACACCAGGCGAAAAGCTACGTTCGGTCGGCTTATGCCATCCGACGTGATGATGTGCACACGCACCCAGCGCTCAGCACACATGAGCCCTGAGCGCTGGGTGTGGGCCACCGAATGTCTTCAGTTCTGTGGTTCGTGCTAGGCCAGCTCTGCGCCAGCTGATGGGTTTGGCTTCCAGCCACATGCAGCCCAGCCTACATTAGTGCCTACGGTGATAAAAATGGATCACAAATTGCCCCCTTGTCGGTAGATGGGGTAGTTCGGCGCTGGGAAATGTCTCGCGCTCGCTTGGCTTTAGCCGAACACTTTTGCGCTCGATGTCTGCCCTCCATCAAACGTGATTGGATTCGGGCCGTGTCACTAAAACGCTAAATTGGTTCACAGAGGATTGATTCAAAGGCGTCCCTACTCTGAAGCATACACCGTGTTCGTGTTCAGCAAACGATGCAAGAAGAAAAATCTGGTGGATATGTCGGATCACGATATGTCGTGATCGCAGCTAAGAGAGCTGCATCAAAATATCATACGTTTCTTAACTCAGATTGTTTAGTTGACCATACGGTTTCCCATCAATTTTGACAGTCCGTATGGGTATTGCATATGATTGCTGTCAATTTCGCGACAAATGCGCCAAATGGAGAAAAGGTACAAGTCTAGCGCAGTCTCGAAAGTTATATGCGGATTTCACAAAATTTCATTATGCTCTTATGTTTGAACAGTTACATTTGCTTGAACGACATTAGGTTCCGTTTTCGTCACCACTGCCGACCTTTCATACGCAAGCCCGCCGAGGGTTGCTGGTTCGAGTTAGTCGAAAACAAAGGCTATTTGCAGAGCAAGTAAGATCATCTGGAGTGCACACATCACTTGTTATGATCTAGGCCTACGACAGCTTGAAATTCTACAATCAGGTTATTGATTACAATACGCTGCTAAAAAATCTGTAGGATTGCTCAGTCATTTTCCAGACTTGGCAGAAGCGCGCTTGACTATGAACGGCATTAAGCACAGCGTTGGTATGTGACTCATTGAGTAAATAATCAATGGTTCCCGTTTAACTCAAGCGTTAACCTGATGTAACTCGGGGAACAAATCGGGCCCCTGACTTCCCTTCACGGGAAATGGGACGGCGTATTCCAATGACGTCATCAACTCATGTTCAATCAGACGACTCCTCCGCACTTCGTGGCGCTGCTCTCAAACCAACATTACGGACAACGATGACGTCGCGGGACGTCGTGACTTAGCGGTCAAGTCGCCAGATGACCGTGCGTGGTATATAGGGCCTTGGTTCAAGTGACCTTTATAAGTGCCTCAAAACGTTTATTACAAAGCCTCTTAATATACTGAATCCGTGATAGAAAGGCCATCGCACCACGCAGATAGCATACGGAAGATGCTGCTCAGCATGGCAGAACTGCAATTCTGTTCGTATTTTTGTCTCAGAGATCATCGAAAACAACGTAATAATTCCGTGACCAGACGAGGTAAAGATATTAATGTTCAAACGCGAAATAAACAACTTTATACAGTGCATGATAATTTACACTTATTTCCTGCCATTTAACGGCTCAGAACGTACTCTGGAACATCCGGTAGCCGGTATGTCGTTCCCTAGGCGCGGCTTTCGGGTCTGACCATTTTTGGGAGAGATGTTTTCATGTCCGAAATACTAATTCAGAAGCACACAAGTTATCTCCAGGACAGCGAGTGATGACGTCATTTCAAAGCTAACGTTGAAGCATTTTCAGTAGATCTGTCCATTCAATCTTTTCGGAGCGCGGCCTCTGAATTTCAATACGCTTGGTGGCTGGGTCTCTGGGCAACAAGGTTACCGACAAAGTGCACTTTGTATAGCCTCTTACAACTCGTGGAAATTCAATTCTGCGCCCAAGGTACAAACCTGAAAGAACAAATTCTTTAGCGTGAAAAAAGGGCAGCACCTCCCTCAGATAACAGATAAGGGAATTTACAACCAAATGGGGATAGTTTTTTTAAAATACAAGTTACAGAGCATTTTGGTGAAGCATATGTTTCAGCCCTTAGAGCTTAATTTAGCTTTCGGTCGGGACAGTTGAGACAAAAACATGAAACAGGTTGGTCTGTCAGCATGCTAAGATACAATCGCCTAGCCATTTCCCTACCCTTGTGAGTATCGGATAATCATGTGATAAGACGAATACTGGCCGTGTCCAGCATGCCACGAAAATGCGTAACTGAAATTCGGAGGGCTTAGACGGATGTTCAAAGGACGATTAGAATCCTGAATCCTGAAAAAGGGTGTTGAATCCTATGATCCCGCCATAATAAGGTCTCAAAAAACTTACTCTCGGCCACAACTACCACAGTTGCGCTGTTACACGGACTATGCAAAGTTTCCTCATCGGTGTTTCACAACAAATATGCTCTGCCGACGATATGGTATAATGCCATGTCAGGAATGGCCTTCTTTGACGCCTGCTAGCGATGAAAGCAATCATACTAATGACAGCGAGATGACGATGAAACCAGCGATGAGGCTGGACAGGGTCTCGTAAAGAGCGCAGGCTTTCATTGCAATGACACGGTCTGCTTTTTCACACTTTCTTCCAGACATGTAACATAGCACAAATAAATCTGCTCGCTTGCGAAAAAACTGATGGGGACCAAATTGCAGAATCCAATTTTTACGAAACCAGTGGGAAACAGGATCCCAGGTTTTTTCGTGTGAAACACCAATGGCTCAAACATCCGAAACAAGGTT